CCACGAAAACACCTCTCTTTTCCTGGCAAACATGAGCACATTTCCCTTCTCACCGCCCTCTCCGGCCTGGCCTCCCGGCCAAGCGGACCCTCCCTTCCTCCCCATCCATCAGCAAGCACTCTCCACCTCCTTCCCCTGCCTCCTTGTCCTCTTCCTCCTGGCTTTATCTCACATTTCTGGGAAGGAGCTAACCCCGGGCATCCTGAGGATGCTCTTCAATGCTTTCCAGTGGCATCAGGACCATGGCTTAGGGAGGGGATCCTACAGCCAAGCCCCTGGTGCCGGGAGGGGCTGCCTGCAGCATGCAATGCCAGGGTGCCAGGCCCAGCCCTCCGTGTGCCTTCCTCCAGAGGCTGGCTCCAGTGGCTCTCCATCTCCAGGCATCCCATCTGGGCTGGGTGAGCCCAGACGATGGGTTAAATCCTCGTTTCTCTGCTTTCTCGGCAGGCTGGTCTGGATGGAGAAAACATCGGAAACTGCCCCTTCTGCCAGCGCCTCTTCATGGTGCTGTGGCTCAAAGGGGTCAAGTTCAACGTCACCACAGTGGACATGACCAGGTGAGATGGCACCATGGCCCAGCCCCGTCCCAGCAGCCAGGCGAGACACCCGAGGCTCAGCTCCCCCCATCAGCACTTTCCTCCCTCCTGCCTGCACCGCAGCCAGCGTGCCACCGCGAGAGTGACAGGGGTGACAGTCCCTGCCCACACACTGGCTGTCATGCCGTGGGGTGCAGGGGGTGGGCCAGCACAGAGCTGCAGCTGCATGCCAACACGTGCACGGCACAGGGACCCCCTGTCTTGCGGGATGCGGGCATGAGTCTGAGGCACCGAGAGGCTGGAGGGTGCTTCTCAGCCCCCCAAACCCAGCAGAGCATGCAAGCGGGGATGCTCCCTGTCCCGCGCCCCCTCCCACACACCCACCGCAGCCTTGTCCGTTTGCCCCGTGGAGGCTGGCAGGTGCAGACAGACTGCAGGCTCTGAGCCCACTTATTTTCTCCACTCCAGGAAACCTGAAGAGTTGAAAGATTTAGCGCCGGGCACCAACCCACCCTTCTTGCTCTTCAACAGGGAGCTGAAAACAGACTTCATTAAGATCGAGGAGTTCCTGGAGCAGACCCTGGGCCCACCCACGTAATTGCAAGCTCGCTCCTTCCCCCTTTCGGGGCCTGGCAGGCACGCCGCAGCATTGCGTAGTGCTCGGCAAATTGGGAAACCGAGGCAGGGTTCTAGATGGTGCCTGAGAGCAGCTCGGGGAGGGGGCTGGCTCCCCACCCAGCACCCTGAGCCGTGCTCTGCAGGGCCAGGGGTTGCGATGCTGAGGGGCTGCGTTCCCCCGGGGAAGGCGGCGGGTTGGGCTGCGGGGGGACTGGGATGGGCTAGGATGGAAAACAATGGGAGGAAATGCACCGGTCCCTTGGCGCAGGCAGAGCTGGGGGGAGAGGGAGAGCGGTGGGAGGTTGCAGGGACCCCCGGGAGCTGGTGGTTTTGCACCTGGCTGTGGCAGTTGGTGTCGAGGCAGAGGGGGAATGTGAGACCCCCTTTGTCCGCTCGTATCTGGTGCGCTCAGCTGAGCGAAAGCAAATGCCTTTGCTTGAATGCAGCAGCGCAGCTGGCCGAAAGGGCTGCCGGGAGGGGCTCGGTCCCCCTGAGCTCATGCAGGGCACTGCCCGCAGCCCGCCGAGCCAGCCTGCGCCGTGTCCTGCGTGGCTGCAAACCCTCCTGCTGCATGCAAAAGAGGAAGCTTCAAATGCATTCGTCATCCGCCTCCTCGGACGTGTCTGCCCTTGCAGTGCACCCTGGGACGCATCAGCAAACAAGAGACTGTTACTGAGGAAGTCATGGGAGCTTCTGGCTCCCCCAGACACCTCCCGTGCCAACATGCATCCTCTGGGCTGGGCCAGAGCTGCCTGCAGGCAGAGCTCTGCTCCAGGGCTCTGCTGCCACCAGAGTCCCCAAACCGTGCAGTTTCTGCCCTGTGATTTTCCCCTAGCAAACACCCAAGATAATGGAGCTCCCAGGGTGGCAGCTGCAGTAATTTAAAGCACCACCATTCTCCCACAACCAGCTGAACATCTCCCACAACCTGCATCCTCCAGTACCAGCCCTGGGCACCATGGCCCAGGAGATAACACAGCTGAGGACCATGCAGCTGTATCTCTGCCTGCATCCTTGCCTGCACTGACCCGAGTGTCTCTTTAAAGGTATCCACGCCTGAGCCCCAAGTACAAGGAGTCCTTCGACGTGGGGAGTGACATCTTTGCCAAGTTCTCGGCGTACATCAAGAACCCGCGCAAGGAAGCAAATATCAGTAAGAAATGCGTCTGGGGGCTGCGGGGCTGTGATCTGCCATGCGCAGGGGGGAGAAATGCTTTTGTCTGCAGGCAAATCCTACCACCAGGTTAGGGTTCCTGCTGTCTTCCCCACCAAAGCCTCCTTGGCAAGCGGCAGTCCTGTGCTCCACCGGGCTAACGGCCCCGTGTGCAGGCGCTGGGGAGAGCAGGTGCTGGAGGGGAGCATGGGGTGATGCTGCTGGGATCCCCTGGGAGCAGAGACTCTGGCCAGGGTCCAGTGCTGTGCACCACCGGCGTGGCCCTGAGGGCTTTGTCCCTGTATGCAAAGCCTGGGAGAGGCTCAGCCGCCCTGGCACAGCCCTGGGCTGCGCTGGGAGCCCAGGGCACCAGACTAACTGCACTTGTTTCCCTGCCCACCCAGATTTCGAGAAGGCCCTGCTGAGGGAGTTTCATCGGTTGGATGTCTACCTAAACACTCCTCTCCCCGAGGAGATTGACCAGGACAGCGTGGAAGACATCACCGTCTCCAAGAGGAAATTCCTGGATGGAGACCACCTGACGCTGGCTGATTGCAACCTCCTGCCCAAACTGCATATCATCAAGGTAATGGCTCCGGCTCCCAGGGCCAAGGTGGGGGCGCCCGCTCCAAGAGGGGGTGACAGGGTGGGGTGATGCAAACAGGGGGCTGGGAGTTCCGCATTTGTCACCCCCTCAAAACCAGAGAGCGGATTTTCCCCAGGTCTGGGAAGTCTCAGCCTCCTCCTCCTCTCCGCTCTAGATCGCAGCCAAAAAGTACCGCGACTTTGAGATCCCAGCAGACATGACGGGCATCTGGCGCTACCTCAACAACGCCTATGCCTGCGATGAGTTCAGCCACACGTGTCCCGCGGACGAGGAGATAGAGCACACCTACGCCAGCGTCGTCAGGAAGATGACCTAACCCCACTGCGGGGTGTGCCGGCAGCACTGCCTCTGGCCGAACCCTCCACCTCCACAGTCCTGACACAACCAAACCCCGGCCGAGGGAGGGACTGGAGGGGGTTTACGGCATCGCTACCCTCTGCCTTTCAGAAATAGCACCTTGCTTCAGAGCCCCCCGCCGCTCCCTCCTCCTCCTCTGCCGGCTGGCTGCAGCCCCAGTGCGCCATCAGTGCTGACCGTGTGTATGGACCGATCCCTGTGTGGCTGCAGTAGCAACTGCATCCCTACTCCCCGAAAACGGGTCTCATGGCCTGTGACCACATGTCATGGCAAAAGCTGAGCGCTAGCCTTCTGCAGCAGCACTTAGTGGAAGAGATGAGACCCCCCCTAAATGGCTGGGCGAGCCCTGCCTCCCCATCTGCTGCTGGAGCTGCTCTGCCAGCCCCACGTGGCCCCAGCCATCCTGTACACTCGGGAAGAGGTGTCCCGGGATCCCCGCATGTTACCTGGGCTGAAGCTCTTTGAATTTGCCCGGCCGCCCTTCCGCACAGCACCCTGCAGCCTGCGTTTGGGCAAGCCCTCTCTTCCACCAAGGCATCCAGGCTCCATCTGAAGACAGTGAAAGGCTCTGCCCCAGGTAGTTTATTGCAGTGGCAAATTGTTCTCACTTTTAGAGAGTTGCAATGTGCATCTACCTCCCCATTAGGACATGGGGTAGGAAGATGCTGGGGATGATGCCTGGCGCGAAAGTGTCAGGACCTGCTGTGGAAGGGGAAGAGGAGGGTGGGGACTTGTGAAGGGCTGACGATGGAGGGCTGAGGATCAGGGCATCCCTCCCATGTGTGCCAGCACCCAGGGCCGAGTGCTGCTGGCTGCAAGGTCCCGCTCCTGTGAGCTCCAGCTCCAGCTCCACCACCCCCTCCCCGGTCCCCACCAACAATTCAGGTGCCTGACTGGGAGATGGAGGCATGGGGTAGGGCATCCATCTGGTTTCCACACCCCAGTACCGGACAGCCTAAGAGAGCAGGAAAAAGCTGCTTTGCAAAGTGCTGTGTCTGTGGGAGATATGTGGGCAGGTTTGGTGCTCCCTGGCTCAGCGGTGTGCCTTCCCATCCAGTGTCGCTGATGCAAGAGGAGTCAAAGCTGCTCTGCACAGCCATGACATCCCATCCTCCCCCATTTGATGCCTCCAGCTCCCCCAAGGGCTCCTGCCAGTGCCTATGAATTCAGCTAGCCCTCCCCAGCCAGCCCTGTTGGCAAAAAAATACTGTACAGTGAGTGTGGTGGGTCCTTTGGGGACACGGCGACGGCAGACCCCCCCCTCCAGCCCTCACTGCCACTTCCCTCTTTGCACTAATGGTGTGTCCTCGCATGCCTGCTTCTGATAGCACTGGGTTTGGGGACAGGTTTTGTTATCAATGGGTTTGGTTTGTTTGGGTTTTTTAAACTAAGAACAGCAATAAACTATATTTTAATATGCCTTGCTTGTGTACTGTCAGTGCACGGGCCAAGGCCACCAGGCATGGAGGGTGCTGCAGGGGGTGGAGCACCGTGGTGGAAACCCTTTTGAGATTTAGCATAAGTGAAGCTGTAGCCCCCAGTCTCTGTTGCCCCGGATCACTGGGATGCACATGGCAGCTCCTGCCCTGCCTGCAGGAGAGATGTCCCCTCCCCAGGGCACATGCACTGCGATCTGCCTGCGCCATGCACGTGGCGGTGGGAGGATGTGGGACCCTGCAGTGTTGGGATGGAGTAACCACAGGATGCTGCTCCGGTGTGAGGGGTTTATTCAGCTCCTGCTGGCAGCCAGCATGTCCTTGCCAGACCATAGCAGCAGCTCTGCCTTGACATGGGTCCTGGAGGTCCACTGGTATGGGAGAAACACTGTCCTGCACCCCGGATCCTCATGGAACTCTCCCCCTACCCCGTGACACCCCTCCTCTGCTGCAGGCCCTCTCCCCTTTTCCCCACAAGGGACCAGAGACCTTTCAAAGCTCTGTGCAAGCCAGCCCACAGCGAGGTGTGGGGTCATGCATGGGTGGGCCCGCTGGAAGGCACTGGGATAGCGGTGGCAGGGAGCGGGCTGGCAGGCAGGTGACCGGCAGAGCTCCTCCTGTACCCCTCATTTGGTGACACAGTACTTCCAGAAGCAAGCTGGGAGAAAAAGGAAAAGATGCCCATGTGAGGGGCTGTAGCAGTGCTTGGCTACAGCCAAAAAGTTTAAAGGAAGGGAGATGTCCATCTCATCTCCCAGGCTCTCGTTCAGCCTTGAAGTCAGTTCTAGGATCACAACCTGGGAGCTGAATGCCTTAGTCCACACCATGGGCACCCTCTACCCCAAACCACGGGCACCCTTCGCCCCACGTCATGAGCATCCTCCACGCCAAGCCCAGCCCCTGCTTGCCATGGCCTCTTTGCAGGTCAGTGATGGGTCACGTCCCAGGACCCGTTGGGAGCTGGGCACTCACCTCTTTTGCTGGGTTGCTGAGGGGCCTGGTCTGTCTGGGTGAACCCCTGGCTCTGGAGCTCACCCACTGCCACCATCCCAGAGGACTGCATCAAGGTCTTCCACCTGCCATGGCACAGCAGCCCCATCATGCGTGTGTGGTGCCCATCTGGCAAAACCAGCCCCCAAACCCCTTCTCCTCACTGCCGGACCAGGGAGGGGAGCAGTGTCGGCACCTGAGCAGGACTGCCTCCGTCCCCGTTTACTGGGTAACAGGGATGGGGTTTGCTGGGACCTCGTGTGGAGCTGGCCCATGGGCGTCCCCTGCCCAGCGGTGTCTCCCTGGGCCACCCTCCTCTTGGCCAGAGAGGCATCCCCCACTCACCAAGCGGTCGGGGACATCCTTCTGGAGAGTGCTTTTATTTCCTGAAAAGAAAAAAAAAACAACAAAAAAACCCCCCTATATATACCTTACCCTCTGGTAAGTGCAAGCAAAAATCTTGCCTGGGTGGGTCTGTCCCATGGCCTGTCTGCGTTGCTGAGGAAAGGGATAGTCTGAGGTCACCACAAAAACAAATGTTACGCATGTGGCTACGACTAAGGCAACAAGTCCCTTGCTGTCTGACTGTATTTAACTGGAAACCAGCTGGTGTGTCAGGGGCTTTCCAGCATCTCACCCTTCGACCCATCCCTCCTCCAGTGCCTGCCTGTGCACAGCCCCCAGGAAGCTCCCACCAAGCTCTGGGAGCTGAACAATCCCAAGCACTTGGCCTTGTATTTCCTTTGCCTCAGACACGTGGTCAAGCTACTAAAGCTCTGGAAGTCCCCATGAGTCACCCAAGCTAGAAGAGGAGCTCCTGTGCCTGCTCATTTCCCAGAAGCACCAGGCAGCGTGCTGTGCTGGGTCCGCTTGCAGGGGCTGTGCAAGCGGATCATGGGGCTGGGGTCATGCTCTCCTTCAGAGCTCAAGCTCTGCCCAAGTGACTTTTTCTCCAGCACCAGGAAGCCCAGAGTGTCTAAACTGGTGCTTACCCTGCCGGTCAGTACTAGCACATATGGACCAAGACCGCAGGCTGGATGCAAACGGGTGTCGTCAGCCCCAAGCCCAGCAGATGCTGGCTCTACCGCCTGCGGTCCCCTGGGGCACTGGCCCGCATGCAGTGATGCGCTGCAGGGCACCACGCTGCAGCAAAGCCCCCACACATGGTGCAGTCGGCCAGCATCGTGGTGCTGGGTATCGCGGCTGTCGGGGAGGCTCATACCAGCCCTGTGACCATAAGCAGAGCTCACCCCATCCCAGACCATACCAGGCAACCCAGCGTGCACCGCTCGCTCCGCACGTGAGCTGCAATTCCCTCATCTCCACGTAGGGTGTCAGAAGAATATCCAGTCTAGAGGGATTTTTTTTTGTATGCCCCAGGCTGTCTGATTTCCAGGGCAACATTGTCTGTCATCCCAGAGTACCCGGACACGTCAACCAAACTCTGCTGTCTGCAGATCACAACAGCCAAAGCAGTCCCTCTGGTACAGGATGGTCTTCTCTTGTCCAACCTGGTCACACTAGGAATGGGTTTAACCCTGCTGGACATACACTACTCCTAACAATACTGGGGAAAACCCTCCCCAGGCCAAAAGCTCTTTCTGCCCAAAGAGAAAGAGGGGGAAGCTGCACTGCTGTGCATTTCTGCAGCCACCAAGCCCCCGTGAAACACCTGATACGAGCCACAGGGTTTCAGCCAGCATTCAGTGCCAGCCATAAAGTGGTGCACAGGGACAAACCCCACCTGGCTTTCAGGCACAAACACCCAAGTCAGTTGTCCTTACCTTGGGCACTGTCACCTTCAGGGTAGACAGGATAAGTGCTGATGCAGCAAGCCCCCAGCAGTAGGGCCAAGGTGACGACCATCCTCTGGGAAGGCATCTTCTCTCCTTCTCCAAGCCTTGACCAATTTCCTAGGAGCCTGTGAGTGAGAGAGTGTGAGGCCGTTCTCTTTTATGTCCTCCAGCTCTCTGCGATCAATATGCTCTCATCAGGTGGGTTATCTTTTCTGCTGGGTTGGCCATCCATCCTGATGGCAGGAGATGACTGGCCCTGCTCTCCCCTCAGTTCGATCTCTGCCACTCTCGAATGAGGATGCTTGATAAATGCTTGGCTGGGTTTTCAGAAGCGTTGCTTTTTACCATGGCTCTGCCGTGCTGGGGGAGGAAGCGCTACGGAAGCCTGGACAGGTTAACCATGCCTCTGGTGGGGCCTGGAGGAGGATCAGAAGAGAATATGGGGCCAACATTTGGACAAAACATGTGGATCCATGCTTCCTTTTTTCACGATCTTCCTCCCCAAGGGTCACCACGTCTTCCGCTCCTTTCACATCTCATGGCAACACGAGGGCAGTGGCAAAGCCCTCAGCATCCCAAGCTGATTCTCGCTGGGCGCCCCGGTCCCTAATGACAGGACTCAGCGAGTGACAAGGCTCATCCTCTGCAGACGGCAGCAGCAGCAGCTTCCTTGCTGGAACAGTATTCGACCTTGCTGGTGTTCCGAGGAGCCTCTCTCCTTATCCCAGCAGCTGGCA